GGGGCTCGATCCCAGGACCCCGGGATCATGACCTGAGCCGGAGGCAGACGCTTAACACCTGAGCCACCCAGGTGCCCTGCTAGTGGAAAACTTTTAAGTTGAAGATGAATCCTATGTGTTGGGGCTAAGGGGTGAGATTCTGGCACTGGACGTACAGATTTACAATTACCTACTCACAGGATATGAGCTGGGCCTCTAATTTGGGCCAGTCACATGGCAGGAGTGGGGGAAGGAGAATCACACTATTGGCATACTCTGAGAATAATACCTACGTGAATTTACTCTAGGCAACTTAGATATTACCTAAGTCCATTGGCTGAGATTACAATTTCACCATTTTTATAAGTAGTGAGAAAACATCTTTATTAAAGCTTTCTGAAGTGGCTGTAAACACAATAATTAATGTTTTAAAGTGGCATACCACCCTAGATATTTACTAGGGCACAAGTCTGATTGGTAAGCTTTTTTTAAAAGTTGGAAGGTTACATTATACCTCACTGTAAACACTTACTAAGTATAAGAAAAAGTGTAAATTATGGGCAAGAAAAACCAAATGCAGAACCATGGAACCTTAAGCGTCAAAGTTCTGGTGGTGTAGAATATTGTTCATGAGGAACCAAGAGAACCAGGTTAAGGTACTGGTGCAGATTCCATTCCAGATTTCACTGGTGGTGGAAAAACAAAGATAAAAGTAAAACGATACTGAACTAAGGATCATTGGGTACGTTCATCTGAATTTTCATAGAATTCTTCTTCAAAAAGAGATAAAATATGCTATCTAAAATTAAAACAATCTACAGCAGAGAAAGTGTCATCTCATTAATCACAAGGTAAAGATTCTACCAGGTCCAACTTACACACAAAATTTCACTCCTGAGACTACTTGCTGAATTTTAGGATTAATAACCAGTTTCGTGATAATCTTAAGAATGCATACAAATTACGTCAAGCATAGCTGAGTTAAATTACTAAGACAAGTGAAATTTCCTGACCTCTAATCAAATCTATCTTGTGGGTGACAAATCCCTCAGAGAAACACTTAATGGATTAATTTTTTCACTCGCTCAGCCCTATCTTCCAAGTGCCAGTTGAATACTAGATACTATTTTCTTGCCGTGGCTGACTGAAGTGACACTTAATCAATAAAATAATTACTGAAAGCAGCCTTGAGACTCAACAAGTCTAACGACATAAAATGTTTCTATCTGGGCAAATAGTTTGCTCAGTGAATCTAGTGCAGACAGACTGTGTTAAATGTGTCATAGTGCAACTTCCACTTTTTAAAGCTTCCTGTGTACAATAACCAGTTGAGGAACAGGAAAAATAAGAGTACTTAATACTCTGTATCAGCTTACAACTGTGACAAGAGTACAGCTTGTCTCCCTCGAGCTATTCCCAACCTTCACCCTTGCTAACACAGTTGTGACTGCTGGATCAGGTAGCACTTGTATTCTGCATCCCAGGGATGCGTGTGTTGGCTTAATCCAAGCAGTCCTCAAGGCGTGGGCCTGCACAAGCATCATCAGGATAACCTGGGAACTTCTTCGAAATTATATTCTTGGGCCCCACTCCCAGCTTACTGAACCAGAACTTTGGGGAGGGGACCAGCAATCTGTGTTTCATCAAACTCTTTAGATGATCCTGATGCGTGCTAACGTCTGACAGCCCTGGTCTAAACCAGTCATTGCAATTCTGTTCCCTCTGCCAACTGCTGGATTAGGCTGGGTCTCTGTATGACCAATGAGCCTACAGAAGTCTCCTGGGAAGCTTCCAGAATGCTTTACTTGCTCACATCCAGAGAGGAGTGAGAGGAAACACACCACCCCTTCTATTTTTGGTTCAGATACGGTCATGTCTTCACGTGATGCCCAGAACTGTAGCATCAATCTTGAAACCAGTGGGCGATAATCCCAAATACCACAGCAGTAAACCAAGCATGAGCACAGGGGAAAAACTGGAAGAGCCTGGCTCTGTGGAGACCTTGAGGAGCAACTCAATTAACCCCAGAAATACCCATGCTCTAGAGTGCCTGTTAAATAATATACTTTTTAAAACTCTGTAGGTGTAAAATGCTTTTTTGTTAAAGATTTTATTTATTTATTTGACAGAGAGACACAGAGAGAGAGGGAACATAACCAGGGGGAGTGGGAGAGGGAGAAGCAGGCTTCCCACCGAGCAGGGAGCCCGATGGGGCGCTCAATCCCAGGACCCTGGGATCATGACCTGAGCCGAAGGCAGACGCTTAACGAATGAGCCACACAGGTGCCCCTGTGTAAATTACTTTTAGTTGGCCTTCTGTTATCTTGCAATCCTGACTGGAATATCTTTCTTTTTTTGAGGTAAGCCCCAAAATAGTATAAACAATATAATGTCACTTTTATACTATTATATAATCTTATACATATCACAGATAATTATATAACTCCATGTCTTTTTACCTTCTACATTTATACTTATTGTTTTTATTTATACTATTTTTATTATATAATAAATTCTTACAAAATTAAATTCTTTATGATATTCTGTATTTTAATTTGAAGCATTTTTAAAAGGAGGAATTTATGACTTTACTAAGTGAAAATACAGAAACCATTTAGAATGGCATTACTGAAATTATATTCTGGTTTTGGTTCTACTAACTAGTTTGTGGGAACAAACAACCAAGCAGATTTAGGCCTCAATTTTCTAGCCTATAGAAGGAAAGAGATTAAATTACTGACACAATCCTGTCTAATTTAAAGGATTACACTCCAAATTTAATCTTTCAGGGGTCCTTAAAGGCCTATGCAACAAAAGTTCATCTTTCGCCAAAGATCCCATCAATACAGATTTTTACGGTGACAAGACTTACAGTTCTGCAGCCTCCTACCGACAAATACTTCCAGAAGGGGGTGACTAATTAGAGCCGCCCAGCTGAAAGGCCGCAAGCTCGGTACTTGGGGTTTGCTCCTGCCAACTCCCAATTATTTAGACTAGGAGAAGCATGGTATTCTGTGAGTAAACACTCTTAATCCCAGGCCTCAAATTCACTTGCTGACTTAACTTCCCTCCCATGCAAAAGTCAAAGAGCACAGAAGGCCAAAATAGCTGACTGCTATTTTGACCTTCTACTGGACTTGCGTTAGATTCACACACCACGAAGAGGGAGAGGTGGGCTGGGGAGCAGCAGCAGTCCACCAAGCCACAAAGATGGTTTAAAAAAAACATCAGCCACAGAGAATTAAAAGTGACTTAGAGTAATTTTTGTGAAGGAAAAGATGTCCTCGTACTCTCACTGCACCTAGTGTTAAAGGTACACGGAAACCCCTATCTGAAGAAATAACAGGTACAGAGCATTTTTAATGTAATATATTTTAAGACCTCTTTATTTAAAGCATTAGGTATTTAAAAGCTTTATAATGGACAAAGAAGACAGCGACTACTTCCTTGAATCAGAGGGCCTCTCCTAGAAGAGAAATGCCACAGCATTATTACAACAACAGGGGCCGCCAAACACCTAGTAACATCTGTGCCAACGTGACCACAAAAGGTGGAGGACAATGAAATACCAAAACAATATAAAGCTTTACTCTGTAAATGAACCAGAAATATCAATACTGGTAAACCCCTTTTATAATAAACTTACAATTTAACCAGACTCATTTATTATCACCAAACTTCATTCCCTTCATTCTTATAATATTAAAAACAATGGCCACGCTACACAACTCAAGAGGCAAAAGACTAGGTGCACAACTGACATGCAGTGAATTTATTTTTTTGTGCCAGGCTTCTCTTCAAAAAAGGATCTGAAGCTGAAATGGGGTGAATGGGCAGGGCAGACTCCATGGACGGATGGGGAAGAAGTGGTATGTGTACACAGTATTTGCACCGCTATTCACCTGCTTAGTTGCTGGATTTTGTGATATGCCTTACTTTAGAGATCAGTTTAAATATTAGTTTAAGTGTGATAACTGGTTTGTTTATGATGGGTAAGATGGGAAATCTAGAAGAATACCTATTTAATGACAGAACAAGAGAGCATAAAGAGCTCACCGGCAGGTCAAGAGTGCAAGTAGGTTACCTGCCTATGAGTTCTTTAGCTAAAGAGTAACTGGCAAAGAAAGGAAAACAGCAATTCCCCTTCCTGAAATGTATGCTGAGAAAAAAATTAGGAACATGCACAAAAATTTAGCTCGGGGATATTCACTGTAGGACTATATAAAAATAGAAGGCTGATCAAACAAATCATGGTGTAGCTATCCAGTGGAATACCATTAAAGTAATTTTAAACAATGATGCATATAAGTATTTAATGCATATTTAATACACATAAAGATATTAGCTATATACTGCAGACTACTAAGGAATATGAACTACAGGACCCCATTTTTGTCTTAAAATATCACAATATGGTTAGAGACAGGTGTATTTATATTATACGTATGCACAGAAAGAATTCTGAAACTACATAAAACCAACTGTAGTGAGATCATGGGTGCTTCTACATTTCCTGTTTTTGTTTAGCTCAAATTCTTAATTTTGTTTTTCTATGATAAGCATATTCTGATTTTACATGAGAAAAAAAATCACCAAATTAATAGGCAGATACAAAGAAAGCCCTTGATATTTACGAATATTCATTTACTATCAAAGGAAAAGAAAGGTTTGCTTTAATAGGTCTTGTTATATGGAACTGCTGTTGTGTTGTTGGTTTGTTTTTTTTTTAAGATTTTATTTATTTATTTGAGAGAGAGAGAGAGCACAAGTGGGATGGAGGGGCAGAGGGAGAGGGAGAAGCAGACTCCCTGCTGAGCAGGGAGCCGGACATGGGGCTCAATCACAGGACATGGGGCTCAATCACAGGATGTGAGCTGAAGTCAGACGCTTAACTGACTGAGCCACCCAGGTGCCCCGGAACTGTTGTTTTTAACGGTACTAGATGTAATGGGATTTCATCTTCAGCAAAACTCTCCTAAGTACAGAAACTACTGACATGGGAGATCAAGAGACATACTTACGGCTGAGTGAAGTCATGAGTGATGAAATCAGAACTCTTGAACAACAGAAAGATGTCGCTGAGGGTTTTACATTTCAGAGAACTGTTCATTGCTATCCAGTATGCATCCTAAATAATGATAATAAAGCACACGCAATTTAGCATATATTTCAAGTCAGTTGCTATGAATGAGGCTCAGGCCTATATACAAAACTGATAATGCACACTACTTTCAAAGAAAAAGTTCAGGTGAGACATTTTAGCTATACCGTTCAATGTCAAATCACACTTCGGAACGACCGAGCGCAGGGCCACTGCATGTTGCATGCTGGGTTATGAACACTGAGCCGTTAAGGCCCTCACCTTCCCACTCAGGCCCAAGCACTTCCCTGTGTTTGTCTTACTGATGATGAAAGAGGGGTGAAGACCATATAAGAAGCGCTGACACTTCAGCTAAAAAGTCAAGATGCAATGAAAGAGGCTGACCAGCTACTCTCCAAGAAAAAGGAGATCCTTTCTCTCTTCTTGCTCCTGGGTAGTGACAGCCGGGACACCTGTAGTGTGAGGACTGGAGCAGTTCAGACCCATGTCTACCAAATCAGGGACAGAGGAGATGAGAGATTCTGAACCACTGCAGCTTTCAGTGGTGAATGTCTCCTACCAAAAACAGGTAAGAAGAGCAGGCACACCAGGCACAAAGCTTGGCAAAACACACCTAAAAATGACAGAATAATTAAGTCATTTATTAAACATACTTCTTCCACAGATCAGACACAGGGCAGTAATCTAACTTTGAGAAAACAAACGATTGCAAAAAACTACGTAATTATCCACACATGAAAGACAGCCGTGGCACCTGGCAGGCACACAAAAATAAAATATAAATGAACAAATGAATAACTTCAAACCACAAATAATCTACCATTCGTAAGTGGAAAGCCCCAGCTCAGCAGTAAGAAATGATTCAAATTACTGCTCATATACAAACTAAAAATGAGTTTTAATAACTTCTTTATAATAATTTTTACAATTTCTGCCAGTGAAAAAGATGATGAACTTCTGGTTGAGAATGGCACACTGGCCAGAGATTTAATTCCACTGAAGCAACAGCAGATGCACAGAAAACCATGAACTCCAGGGAAGGCAAAAGGGTGAACGAGGATGCTAAGTCATCCTGTACGGTAGCCATCCAAGGTGCACAGAGTATCTGCATTACCAGGGTAGCCGAAACACTGCGTCCTGACCTAAGCGAAACAGGACGGTAGTCGAATGAGAGTGGAATATAAAGCAGCGGGAGTGGGAGGTGAGAGGACAGAACCTCGTCCCCGAGGGGGCGGCAACAGTGAATACGGACAGCCAAAGGACGGAGCGGGAGAGGAACATAACCAAAGGATGAACTGCAACAGGGGCAGCAGCAGCTGCTGCACCTCCGGCGAGTGAGCAATGGGGAAGCCAAGGATGTGTCAGGACCTGCTGGTGTGGGGAGCAAGAATCCAGCTCTTTTAAAAATGTAAACGATGTAAATGTGGAACTAATTTTAATCAGTAAAAATAAAGGACAGATTAGGTACAACTTGTCGTTCGTCTTAGAAGAAGAAAAGAAAGGCACACGGGATGCTTTTGAAAATGCAAGGAAGTCTTTGATTCCTTAAGCGAACTTTTGCTACCATCGTGGTTTTCTACTGGATTAGAAAAAAGAGCGAATTTTTCCATAGACCTTGACGTAAAAAAAAATCTTGTCAATGCAATGTCATAATGATAAAACACAATTTAAGAAAATGTCAGCTGACTTCCCGAATGGCTCTATGTCTAGGTCCTGTGACATTTTAATTTTCATTATTTTTCAATAGAGAAAAATTTCTCTGTTACACTGAACAGCTGAAGTTTTGAAAGGGGCAGAGAATGACCTTCCTCTGATTCTAGCACGATCAGCAACACAAGAGGTTACAACGGTCTTTTAGCAAAATATATAGTATTTTATAGACTCGGGACACTGCAAAATCAGGAAAGTAGGAGGGGGAAAATAAAAATAAATGCCACAGTGTTTTCCCTAGAATTAGGAATAAAATTCTAGGTCCTCTGTGGGCATATAAAAAGAAACGAATAGCAAAACAAAGAATATTCAAACAGTGAGAGATTTACTGATGTGTTCCTACCCTTGGGGCACTCCAGTTAAGCTTAGGAAATACACTGCCCCCCAGGGAATTGATAGCTTCTTGGACTTTCGTGGTGAACTCGGGAAATTCCGGTGCCTACAGAGAGAAAGGAGAAATCATTTAGACAGGTTGATAACATCACAATAAATACAGAAAACAAGATCAAAATCTCAAGGTTAAACAATTAAGCATGTTAAAAAATAAGTTAGAATACAAATTACTATCAGAATTTCTGAACTGGAGCTAAATAAAATCAATGATCAAATATTTGCCAGAAAGGGAAAAAATAACAAGTGCCCAAACGGTACTTTCCAAAAACAATCAAAACCCAGGAAGCTTAAAAGACAGATGTCACGAGGCATCTGGGGATATGAGGAAGGACTGAATGGTTCTCTGGACATCTAAAGAACCAACAGTTATTAAGTGAAAAGACAGACGGAATGTCTCCTATACCCATATTCCAACGCTCCGAAATATCACCTCACATTTAAAGGGCCAGAAGCCTTTCTATCTAGAGGAAAAGATTCTTGGACATATCCCCAAAAGCCTTCAGGAGAATGAGAAATAAATCATGTGCTCAACTGTATTTAAACACTGCTATTTCCAGACAAGTTTTAATATAAACAAAACTCAAAAATAGGATGGTGCTGCAGTTAAAATGTTCTTTCCTTTTTGATTGATTTTAAAATGCACAGTTTATATATGCAAGTAACCAAAACGTCCTAAGTGTCATTTCAACCAGGAAGTAAAGAGAAATAGTGTGAAGAAACACTCTTCTGCACTCTTCTGTGAGTCTTATGTCCCTAGCTAAGGAGCCCATGAACATTAGCAGAGAAAAGGGGACTAAGAGAATCGGAAGTGTAGCCTGCAAGGGGCAGAATACAAAAATATTAACAGGTTTGCTACAGTCACGTTATCCCTTTATATCTGCCGCCCCCTACTGGGCAACTGCAAATTTTGAAAAAGTCCAGTAATGACAAGTTCTTCCATAAGGGCAAAAAAGTTAGACTAGGTCTAGAATGAGCCAAACTACACACTGCAAAAATATATCAAATGGCTTCTGTTGACCCCCTTAATCTAATCCAGTTACAACGGAAAGAAAACTGTGTTAAGGGGCGCCTGGGTGGCTTAGTCGTTAAGCGTCTGCCTTCGGCTCAGGTCATGATCCCAGGGTCCTGGGATCGAGCCCCACATCGGGCTCCCTGCTCTGCGGGAAGCCTGCTTCTCCCTCTCCCACTCCTCCTGATTGTGTTCCCTCTCTCGCTGTGTCTGTCAAATAAATAAATAAAATCTTTAAAAAAAAAAAAAAAGGCCTTTCCCCTTTAAAAAAAAAAAAAAAAACTCTGTTAAAAGTCTGGGAAACAGGAGCACCTCGGTGGCTCAGTCAGTTGAGCGTCTGCCTTTTAAGCTCAGGTCACGATCTCAGGGTCCTGGTATGGAGCCCCGCATCAGGCTCCCTGCTCAATGGAAAGCCTGCTTCTCTCTCTCTCTGCTGTTCCCCCTGCTTGTGTGTTCTCTCTCTCCCTCTGTCAAGTAAGTCAAGTAAATAAAAAATCTAAAAAAAAAAAAAAAGTCTGGGAAACAGACCAAAAAACGTCAGTTTAAAACAAAAGGTGACCTATCCTCCAAACTAGAAACCAGCTTTAAGCAGTAAGCTAGTGAGTAAAGGAGGGAGAGATCACAGCAGACTGGACTGGACCCCCTTCCTTTCTGCTACAGATGTCTATGATCTCTAGACAGGTTGGCAGCATCTTTAGTATCTGCCACCGTGTCCATCTTCCATGTGACACTGTCAGCTTAGACACAGGAAATCAAACAGGAGCCATTCTGAGAGGCTTTCAAAATGAGTAACAGCCTGAGTCCTTTATCAACGATTTGCCTCTCCCCATGAGAAGGAATTATGATCTATATTAAGCCAATAATTTCCTTATGATCCACTGAAGTTACTGATGTGGCTCAGCTAGGGTTCTATGCATAAAGACACTTAACTAAAATCTGCATTAGCAATATTTTCGATGAATGGTGTAGTCATACAAATTTTACAACATGAAAGGATTCATTCTTCAAAGAAAACAATTTAATTTTCCCAACCCATAAAATTTCACATTGCTTTGTATTTATGTATTATATTTTGAGAAGTGACAGATTACCTCAAATCCTCAAATTATTCAACTCCAGGAAATCCTGCTATAAGGATCCTAAAACAAATTTAAATTATAAGAAGTTTATGTATTGTGGAGAAAAATGTGTGCTTCTGTGAAAGACTATGTATTATCTACCTACAGCATACCCTCTGGATTATCTGATTCTAGCTAGGTCTATGAGCTGTTTTATAACTTGGCAAACTGTAGGTTAAGTAATAACAATGAAAAGTAAAGTATTTCTATGGACATAAAAATTCTATCCTGCCTGACAGAGAGCCAGTTGTCTTCCCCCGACACACATACCCTTGAGGGAGGCAAAACCAATTCTGCCTCATTTATGTATTCATTGCAATATTTCTAATCTATAAATCTGTCTGTCCTTTGGATTCTCTTTGGAACCAGTTAAAACATCTGCCTAGATCCCCCATGAGTTAAATAAAACCTTCAACATGTGTTACAGTTTTATATCAATATGGAGTCATGATTCTACCTTTTTTCTGAGAATTACCTTTCAACAGATTCAACTAATAGAATTCTTTTAAGCTCATAGCTCAAGGAGTTGATTCAAATATGCAATATACCTCAGTTTTCCAGGAAAAGGTTCCTGTTGTGACCGATAAAATCTACATTTTTTATCATATCTGGGGACTTTCTGTGATCCAAACCCTCCTGTCTTTCCAACTACACCTACCATAGCCATTTTTTTTGACTACAAAATATTTAAAATATACAAAAAAAATATACACCTGTGTTCCTGGATCCATACACTCAACAATTTGGTATACTTAACCCAGACTTTTAAATTTCTTTCTTTTTTTTTTAAAGATTTATTTATTTGAGAGAGCGAGAATGAGAGAGCGAGCACATGAGAGGGGAGTGGGTCAGAGGGAGAAGCAGGCTCCCCGCCAAGCAGGGAGCCCGACGCGGGACTCGATCCCGGGACTCCAGGATCGTGACCTGAGCCGAAGGCAGTCGCCCAACCAACTGAGCCCCCCAGGCGCCCGACTTTTAAATTTCTTAAGGGAACAAGGTTACAATATAAATGAAGCTTCTTACCTCCTTACTCTCTTCCCTAATCCTAACCCTTCCCCTCCCCAAAGGCAACCAGCATTACAGACTTGGGCGTATTCCTCCAGAATCATGATTTATACTTAGTAATAATACATGCCTGTCCATTAATTATAGCATTTTAAAAATTTAACATAACTGCTGTCATTGATATGTATACTTTTAGCAAACTGCTCTCACTTTTGAGATTTACCCCCCTCAACTGAGTTTTCCCATTTTTAATTCCGTGTTTCTGTATCTAGATCAACGGACTATTTACCACTCATCAAAGCTTATATTTCCCTCATTGGGCCTTGGCCCACATTCCTTACTAAGAGTCTTCTGCCATGAATGTTCCCCTGCTCAACAACATCTAGTTCCACCCAGCGAAACCCAAATCACTTTAGTAACTTTTTATTTTGAAATAATTTCAGACTTTAAGAAGCATTAAAAGAAGAGTAATAAGAATTCCCATATACTCCTCAGCCAGGCGTTTATCACGTTTGTTTTATCTCTCCCCATCCCCAAACTCTCTCTCTTACAGATCTATGCAGATGTGTGCATTTATTTACATATATGCACATATAAAACAATTTTTTCTTACATTCTTAAAGTATGTAGAAGTCATGATGCCCTTTTACCCCCAAATACTTCAGTATGTTTCCTAAAAGAGCAGTAACATTCTTTTACAGAACCTAGCAAAATTATCAAAGTCAGGGAGCTAACACTGATAGAATACCATTATCTCATTTACAGATCTTATTCAAAATGTACTCATTTTCCCAATGTCTTTTATAGCAGAAGAAAAACCTTTCTTTCTGACTGAGGCTCCAGTCTAGAATCGCACCACTGCATTTAGCTGTCACATCTGTGCAATCTTTAATCTGTACCAGTGCTTCCTTCTGTTGTCCTTTATCTTTCATGACCTTGACATTTTTGAAGAGTACTGGCAGTTATTCCATGTAATTTCCAAAAAATTGCATTTGCTGGAGGTTCCCTCATCATTAGATTTAGGTTATGCATGTTTGGCAGGTGATGTGTCCTTCTTAGTGCATCATCAGGAGGTATCAGGAGGTACACAATGTAGGTCTGTCCCATCACTGGCAAGGTTAACTTTGATCACTTGGCTACCAGGTCCTTACACTGTAAACTTACTATTTTCGTCTTTATAAAGAAGTAATTTTGGTGGAAATACCTTGAGAATATTCAAGCATCCTCTTTCTCATCAAATACTCACCCACGAGTTTTAACATCTATTCCATCAATTATTACTGTGACGGTTGCCAAATGGTGATTTCCAATTCTGTAATTCCTTCTACATTTGTGAGCTGGTGCCTTTTCTACTATAAAGGGCTTTCCTTTCTGCTCCCATTTATTGAATACAGCCATTTATTTGTGAGTATGGGATCACAGACCACTGATCTTAGCAAATGGCTATACTCCACTAATATCCCTGTTTTGACACTCAGCTATTTGGCCAGTGGGAACCCACCTGAGCTGGCCTCTGTGTCCTTTCTGTCATGTCTACCTCATTCTTACTTTCTGACACAAGCTGTCACAAGTTCATCTTCACTTTCCTACCCACAGTGCTGACTTTCTCCAAGGAGCTTCAATTCCTTTTAGTTGAGAAGGTATCTAGAAACCAAGATCAGGGCACTGGGTATGCTCACTGCTACCATGATGTCACCATATCACTGCTCCCAGTCCTTCGTGAATGGAGTATGGTAGATAAACACACATAAATTACTAATTTCCCTATCTAGCCATCTATTAGAAAGCATGAGTTGACACTGATAATCCTCACCACTTTTAGGGTCCAGGTCAAATATCATGTGTCCCTTTACCCATTTCTAGATGACCTCAGTTCTAACTGTTCTGTGTTCTGATAGCTCTGTCATCTACTCCCAAACTTGAGACATCTTCCCTGGTTTATAAACTCCCTAATGGGAGGAATCAAACCAAATTCATCTTTGTTCAGAATCCACTATGGTGCCCTGAATATAGGAGATAACTAAGATGCATGTTTAACTGAACAGGATTTTCAGAAACAGAGAGTGACTGACTTGCACGATATCCAGAGTAAAATAAACCATGGAAACTTGCCCTTTCTGTATATGTTGGCATGCTTTTTATACAGGAAATATATTGGTTTAGGCATCTCCACTTACTTTTCTTATATCAGGTCTCTTCCATTAAAATAAACAGAAGTATCTTCTTTAGAATTGTATTAGACTATAACCTTCCCTAAAACTAGTTTCCCTTGTGCCTTGTGTATATTTGGAGGGAACTGTATAAAAACCTTTCTATCTCAAGGTATAAGAAGTTTCTTCTTATCTACTGTATTTTTAGAAACACATGTTTTACTGCACTCATTCCTTTAAAAATATTTTTATTAAAAATATATTTCAAGTTGAATTAGACAACAGCATTCTTAACCTGAAAGACTATAATACACTCAAATCAACTTCTACATTTTTATATAAGGTATTGGTTAAAGCCACACACTTCTCTACTCTCACTTGAAACTGTAATTTTTACGCCATTTAAATATAGTTGAATAAGTGACTACATATTTCACTTTTAGGTTCCAAATATCTGGGAACCTCAAAGTTCAATGTTAGACTTCATTACTTTTTTCAGAGCTCAACAGAAACAAGTCAAAGCACCAACTATGCACTTAAAATATTTCCTTTGAAATCAAAGGGAAAAAAGGGCAGGCCATGTTTGCCTATAAACAATGATTAAGGTTATTTTTCAAAATAATAGATCAAAGCCAACAGAGAAACATACATTTCAAACAGTGAGTGGAAGGGAATTGAGAGAGATGTGTACTGAAACCCTGAAGCCCCTCATGTGGCAGTGTGAGGCTGTCCCCACACTGGCATGGCTCTGCTCTTACCGTAAGTGTAGCCGTGTTCTCATCATCCGACCACTGCACGAAGGGAAAAGAAACAAAATATTAAATGTGGATAGTGTACTGGGCTTCCAAAAAGCAATGCTCTATCTAAAAATTGTACATAAAAGAGAAAGACATCTCTTTCTGAACACAAACTACATGTCAAAGTGTGGTTTTCATGTAATTTCTCACTTTACCAAATGTACGCTAAGACGTAAATATCAGAACCATTTCAGGGATCATTTAAATTACAATAGTCTATAGAATGGATTATTTTTTTTGAACCAACCTGTATTTCTTCTGCCTCATCATCACTGTCTGGTTGAGAATGTGTTGGTGGATCTTCCCTAGAAGAACATAAAACAAAAATTAAGCAAGAAAAATGCTTCAGTACCATGTATGTAGTCATAATTTCAGGTATATTGACTACACATGGGAAAAAAAAAGCCTCAGAACTGGAGGTTAGGAAAAGTTCATTTTTTGAGGGACACCTGGGGGCTCAGTTAGTTAAGCATCTGCCTTCAGTTCATGATCTCAGGGTCCTGGAATCAAGCCCCACGTCAGGCTCCCTGCTCAGCGGGAGTTGCTTCTCCCTCTCCCTCTGCCCCTCCATCCCACTCATGCTGTCTCTCTCTCTCAAATAAATTAATAAAATCTTTTTTTAAAAAGTTCATTTTTTGAGACAGAAACTAATAAAAGTTAATATAAAATTAATGAGTACACTTCCAATAAGAGACAGCAGAAGAAACACTTTCTGCCCTCTTCTCAGAAATCACTAGAACCAAGGAAAAGAAAAACTCAAACTCCAGCTCTGAGGACACGAGCAATCATCTACAACTCTGAATCCCAATATATGAGAAAAGCTGCCACAGACAAGGAAGATCAAGTGAGATGAAGAAGCCAAAAGGATTCATCCAAAGAGCTGTTCTACCGAAGAGCTGGAATACCCCTAAAAGGCAAAATCAAGAATCTTTTGCTTACATGTGAAAACAGAGCATGTGGGCTGGTGTCGAGAACTACCCTGGATCCTGAGGGCTGCTGGAGTGGAGGGGGTGGGAGGGATGGGGTGGTTGGGTGATGGACATTGGGGAGGGTATGTGCTATGACTGTGAATTGTGTAAGACTGATGAATCACAGACCTGTACCCCTGAAACTAGTAACACATTATATGTTAATAAAAAAAAAAGTGTTCCTGAATAAAAATAATAGTTACCTTAAAATACTCCATCACTGGGGCGAATGGATGGCTCAGCTGGTTGAGCATCCGACTCGATTTCAGCTTAGGTCATGATCTCAGGGTTGTGAGATAGAGCCCTGTGTTGGGCTCCATGCTGGGTGTGGAGCCTACTTTAAAAAAGAAGGGGGAGGATTTACCTAAAATACTCCACCATACCCATCTCCCCAAATGTGGAGGGGAGAAGTGAGACAAAAATAGCAAATCTGATTATTGATGTAAGCTGAATGATGGGTAGGTGGGGTTTAATCATACTGTTCTCTCTCATATTGTGTTTGAAAATGTTCAGTGAAAAAGTTAAAATAAAATCTTTCCATGGAGGAAAAAATAGAATTACTCTGGATCTGGACGGGCACCACAGAAAGGTATGGGGGAAAGAGGGAAAGAAAAACTCGGACATGCTATCTATAAAGAAGCCTGTGAGCGAAGCACATGTTGAAAAGGACCATCTAGCAGACAATCTTCATTGTCTAGGGCGGAAACAAAGGCTGAAAACACTCAAGAGTATTCCCTCTCATCAACACTAAACCACAAATAATTGGCCTATGAAGAACTCACCACATCAATGAAAACAATAATAATCAGAACAAGAACTAGCATAGAATCTGTACCAAGAAACCGTAAAAAGGGAGAGAGAGGCTCCTGGTTGACCATGGGCTTTTATCTATCCCTATGCTCCCTCTTGAAACTCCATTAAAATGGTAGAAAAAATCCCAAGGAAATAAAGGACCAAAAAGGAGACAACTGCAGAAAAGAGACAGCAATAAAAGTTTGGGAAACAGAAAGCCATTGAGAAGGATAACCCAGAGAGCAACAGGCAGAACCTAGACCTAACACAGATGATGAGACCGAAGCTCTGGGCTACCAACAAGTGACCTGTGTGAAGTCCATAGAAGGGGCAGTAAGACATACACAGCCCTCCTCACCCTGCACACCCTAACAACTAATCCTCCTCCACGAACCAAAGAGGCTAAGGACTCAGGTCCATAATGCCCCAAAGAAAAATGAGGGTGAAATGCTAGAGTATGACAAGAAGCCATGTGAAAATCACACTAACAGCGAGGTCACCAGTCCCCTTCCCCCCACCCTGCTCCCAGAAGACACAGAGATTACAAGATTCTTCTCTGTAGAATGTGAACCACCCAGGTGGACAGACCTACAGGTAAGCATTATCTGGAAAACTTCCATCAATACCTGCTGATTGCTGGCACTCTTAGTCAGCAAGCCCCACCTGGATACATAGTGAGTGAGTATGAGTGTTGAGCGTGTGTGTCCTCACTCTTAAATATGAATAAAAGCCTAGAATCATTAGAAAACTAAAGAAAGGCTCCAAGATGAAAAAAAAAATAGTTTTTTAAAAGGAGAGAGAAAAGGTATATGTAAGAAATAGACAATAAAGGGACCAGATGACAAATGTTTTTTTACATCATTAATATAAAGATAAAAGATAAAGAAGGTAAAAGATAAAAGAAGATACTGCATCCATGAGAGGAAAACAGGAAGCTGTAAGAAAGGAACAGAGGAGGGGCGCCTGGGTGGCTTAGTCGGTTAAGCATCTGACTCTTGATCTCAGCTCAGGCCTTGATCTCAGGGTCGTGAGTTCAAGCCCCACCTTGTGCTCCATGCTGGGCATGGAACGTACTTTAAAAAGATTTTTTTTCCAAAGACAAGAAAGAAAGAGAGAGAGAGAGAGAGAGAGAAAGAAAAGAGAAAGAAAAGAAAAAAGAAAGAAAGAAAGAAAGAAAGAAAGAAAGAAAGAAAGAAAGAAAGAAAGAAAGAAAGAAAAAGAAAGAAAGAAAGAAAGAAAGAAAAA